TTTCTAGAAATAAGGCTAGAGAAGTTCAACACTGAAGTTACTGGATATTGTATTTAAGTCGATTTTTCCTTCATGCAACAGTTATTATAGTTTGAGTTTTCTTAAATATGAATTTGACATAGAATATTTGACATTTTAATTAAAGGATTTTTAAAATATGAGCTTTTAGAAAAGATGACTTGATAAATGTTTCTTCTTACATAACTTATATTTGAAATCAAGGAATACTTTCAAGACCTAAGGGTATTTTGGTAGAAGCCTGGGCAAATATGTTTTTATTTATATTCACATACTTATAAATGCCACAATTGTATTAACCACATCTATAAATGTTTCCTTATCCAGGGATTATATTTCACACTGGCACTCTGAACATTTTATTTGTGCAGAAAAAGAATCAGTGGGTGGTTAAATCTTCTGAATTACAGGCTGTGGTTGATTTTAGAATTTGGGATAAGGAGAAATTCTTATGAGATTTGAAGAGTCTGTATATTTTATTCAACCAATGTTATAATATTAGTATATTATCTAAATAGTATTTTGGTACCAAGTAGTTTCAGGCTTATTTTTTTTTATTTGATGGGGCACTTTTATATGAATTCTGGGATAATTTGTTTTGAAGAAGTAGCCAAACCAATCTGCCTTTCATTTTTGGACAAAGTTTCTTCCTTAGAAGAAATTTTTCTGTGAGTGTAGTCATTCACCTTTTTTGGAAGCTGCATATTAGCACTTTGTTAGGAATGTGGAGATGAAGATGACATGTTTCTCTCCCTCTGGGAAATCAGTCATATGGGGGAACTGACAAGTAAAATATTTAAAAATTAAAATAATTCAATTTTTAAAACCATTTAAAGTGTTGCAATAATTATGTGCAAAGAATTGTCTACTCGAAATCGACTGGTTACTCCTCTTCTATGTTGCTGAGACTGCTCCAGGACTCTGTCTGGATCCTCTTCTTTTTTTTTTTTTTTTTGTCTGGGAAATCAGTCATATGGGGGAACTGACAAGTAAAATATTTAAAAATTAAAATAATTCAATTTTTAAAACCATTTAAAGTGTTGCAATAATTACGTGCAAAGAATTGTCTACTCGAAATCGACTGGTTACTCCTCTTCCTCACTATGTTGCTGAGACTGCTCCAGGACTCTGTCTGGATCCTCTTCTTTTTTTTTTTTTTATCTAAAGTCTCTCTTTGGGAATCAAATCCCCTCCCAATAAAATCTATATGCAGATGATTCCTCAGTCTATATTTTCAGCACCAATCAACCCTGGAGTTTCTGAACTCAGAAACTGGTTTATCCTTCTTATATAAATACATAATAGGCACTCAAGCTTATGTATTCAAAACTGTTTTTGATTTTGACTATTTTGGCCCTCACCACTCAATCTTTTCCACCACATTGCTCTCTATTTCCCTAAGAGGTATCACCAGCCATTGAGTTGTTCAAGCCAAAAAACCTAGGAGTTATTTTTGGTTTCTGTTTTCTTCACCTGTCACATCAAATCCATCAGCAATATCCTGTCAACTCTACCTTCAAAACATACTCTGAATCCTTCTCTCTCATTGCTTCCATACCATCTTAGTACAATATACTCTTTTTTTTTTCGGACTATTGTAGTAGGCTCCTTACTAGTTTCTACTCCCTCACTCAGCAGTGAGAGCTATCTTTAAAACACTAATCGGGTCACTTGCCTATGAAAAACCCTCTGTGGCCTCCCATCATGCCTAAAATAATGTCCAGACTTTCTGCTTCGGCTGAGTCCCACATGATCTAGCCCCTGTTTGCCTCCCTGGCCTTGTTTATATCACTCATCCCCTTGTCCACAATTCCACTTCATTATTGTTGACATACCTTCTTTTGTTGCTGTAAGTACCAAGTTCATCCCCACTTTAGGGCCCACCCCCTTACCTGGAGTGCTTTTGTCCCTTTTCTTAATTCAATCCTAAAATGCTACTGTGTGCCAAAGACTGTTCTAGTTGCTGAGAATAAAGCAATGAATAAGACACAGGGGCAGTCCCTGGGGCGTTTTTGTTAACGTCTTTTGTCTGGTGGGTTCCTTGAAGGTGCAACCTTCATATTCTCTGAAACTTGTTCAACTCTCCCAGATGGCTTCTTTTTTGATGCCACAATTTATGTAATTCACTTAATTTCTGCCTTAATGAAGTTTGTATTTTAGTTGGGGGCAGCATGGGAGGGTGGGGTGGAGATTACAATAAACAAGATGAGTAAAATGTATGTTAGATGATGGTTAAGTGCTAAGGAGAAACATAAAGGAAGCAGCAAAGTGTTGGGGTGAGTAGTGCAGTTGTAATTTTAAATAGGATGGTCAGAGCAGGCCTCTCTGTGAAGGTGACATTTGGGTCATCGTCGTTGTCATCATCGTCGTCATCATCATCATTTGTTCCAGGCAGGGAAAGCAACAAGTGCAAAAATGAAGTGAAAGCATGCCTGGTGTGTTTGGGGAATAGGTAACAGTAGGGCCAGATCTTGCAAGGCCTTGTTAGCTAGTGGTTCTCAGTTTTGGCTGCAGATTGGAACTATCCGAGGAGCTTTAAAAAATACTGATGGATGGGTTCTAATGCCAGAGATTGATTTAATTGGTCTTGGGGTGCAACCAGGGCATTGGGATTTTATAAAAGCTTCCCAGGTGATTCTAAGATGCAGCTAAGATTGAGAACCACTGTAGGCCAGTATTAGGACTTCAGCTTTTACTTTTGAGGGAAATGGGAACTCGTTGGAGGGTTTTGTCACAGGAAAAGTAATTTTGTAATTAATTGACTTCAAAATTGGATTTTCATTTATTAAACTTAATTACTTTAACTATAAAACCACAGTAATGCCTTAATTGCCTCAAATTGTTTGAAGTAGGTTGTGATTTAACTCATATATTTGTATCATTATAAAGATGTGCATTTTTAGGACTGTTTTCTCTATGCTTATTAGTTGCCTTTCAGTTTTCAGTTCATAGTTACCTCATATTTCCATATGTTACTACTTACCCTCTTTAGCTTCCTTCCTTTTCCTAATATACAAGTCTACATTTCTTCCAATTCTGAACTTCTTCACTTTAATTCATAGAACTTGATACAGAATTGTATAAAAAGGTTTTAGTTAAAATATTCGCATTTATCTGATCTGGGCTGTCTTAATCCACTAAGTAACAAAGCAAAATTATATGAAATTACATTTTTTTCCTTCTTAGAATTTAAAACTTGGTTCCTGTATACTTTTCCTGAAGCTTTATACTTTTACATCTTTTCCACCATTTTCTGTAAGACTTCAGGTACAGGGTGTAATATATATTATATATTATATCTTTATAATCCTTATATCTTTATAAAAAGATAGGAGGTCTTTTGTTCTATATTTCAGCTCCTGGAGAGCTGCTGAAAATAGATTTCAACTTACTGGGTCTTATAGCCTGCAAAAATTACTTTGACATGTGTAGAAAAAGGTCTGCCCTCAATTTATTTGTAATTTACTTCTAATTTGTTGAGTTACATGTAAGTAATTTTCATTTTTTTCCTCTGTCCTTTGCTGTGTTTCAACGGATTTGCCTCTCCTGTTTTGACTGAATATATCATTACAATTCTTGGAATTCCTCATTTACTATTCCTCTGTGGATTTGTTCTGTTGGAATCTGGAACACTGGAATGATGGAAATGTGTTCTTTACAAAGTAGCTGTGAGTATACTGCATAATTTTTACAAAGACTTTTTTCAGTCTAAGTTAACTTAAATTTAACTTACACTTAGATGAAATATGAACCAAGGGATCCTTAAATTTAATACATATTTATAGTTCTATTTATAGAAAGCTTCCAAATATTTGACTTTACTGCATCTGATCCGTCTCCCAATTATTATGTTTAAAATTAGCTTTTGAACTTAATTGGCTAACTTAGCTTGTCAACATTCGGCTTAAAAATTAGTTTATATGATTTAAAAAAGGGTAAAAGATTATGGATGGAATATTTAGCTTACATCTGTGATACTAGGGAAGACCTCTGTTCTTTTTTAAATCCAAATGTGTTGAATTGATGCTTTCATCTCATGAGTTTTTTAAAAACAAGAATTTAAATGTGGCAAAAGCTTTTAAGAGAATTGTGTACCTCTTAGGAACATTTTGCCATTGTATTTTAATGATGAATAAGACCTATCTCTAAAGTAAAATTAACCAGTAAGATTCTACTCTCTCAGATGGTCTGAACTATGGACAGTATTTCTCACAATTGGGTAAGTTAAAAATCAGACTTATTTACTACACCAATTTAGAAGTAGATTTCTTTGAATTACTCATGAAACTATTGTCAAGATCATCAAAGAATCAAAAACCGTATAGAAAGCAGAATTATAATATACTTTAAAACTTGGATAAATCTGATTTCCCTGAAGACGGAAGCAACAGAATCATTTGAAAACTTAAATTGGCATAATTGGACCTGGCATAACAGCTCGAAAGGTATTATTTGCTGATTGACATTAATCATAAGAGTCTTCAAGAATTTATGAAAAATTACTTTAAACTTAATATTTTGATTTCATTTCATGAATCAGAAGACAAATTTCAAGAAACTTATACCTGTGGTAGTAAGTCAGTGTGAGTAAAGGGGATAAGTTAAAAAGGGTTCTTAATATAATTTCAAGGGGATTTTTTTTATTGCGAAAAACCCTTTGTTATTTTGTTGTTTTAGTTGGTTGGTCAGAATCTTACTGTTACTAACTCAGTTGAAATTGTTGTTCTGAGGCAGGTCTCTTTAATTTTTATTTTATTCCCTTAGGCTTTTATAATTAACCATTGTACTGTCAGTCAACTCATGTTCAGTTCATTCTGCTGTTAACTAATCCTTTTATTAGTTACCCTGTAAAAGCAGTTTGATTTGCTAGGAATAATAGTTTGTGTAATTTTCAAAAATGGGTTAATGAAGGGAATTTGAAATGTGTGACAGAATTGTACTGTTGTTACATGAATAACTGGGGTCTTTTTGCTTTTCTCAGCAACAGAAGAACCTTGAAGGCTATGTGGGATTTGCCAATCTCCCAAATCAAGTATACAGAAAATCGGTGAAGAGAGGGTTTGAATTCACACTTATGGTAGTAGGTAAGATATGATTTCTCACTAAAATGGAATTTTGGTGTAAGGTTTAAACTGTTAATCAACTGAATAAATTTGAGAAAATAGTAGCCCAAATAGCTGCAGTGATCATATCTTATTTTCACTTATGTGAATACATTTTTGAATTTAACTTGGTGGCATAATGAGATTTATATATCCTCTTGCATCTTTTTTTTAAAGGTGAAAACTAAAAAAAGTTGAGAAGCAGTTGGGTGATAGTTGTGAAGTAGAACACTAGAATTCACTTCGACTGATAGTGCTACAAAAAAAAAGCATCTGGTGGTTACTTATTACTCCAGGATAATTTTGTTCTGTGGCATTTAACTTAAACAAATATGTGCTCTGAGTTTTAATAAGAAAGGTGGTGTAGAGGATCATAATAATGAAAATGATTTCCCTTGGAATTCCATTCATTGTGGATGAGCCCTGAAGTGAGTGGAAGGAGACTTGCTGTGTTCTCAATTCAGTCTCATTTTTCTTTTGTGTTTTATCCTGTTTGCACCTTACCTTGCCTATGGTTCATTTGAAGATTTTTTTAAGGATTATTTTGACTATAGGCTGGTAACATCATCATTATATATGAAGAAACATGCTGTACCTTTACCATATATAAAATTAGTAATCTTCAACGACAGTCTTATTCTTAAATGACTGTATAATTTCATCTCATACAGGCTGACTTTAGAACCTAAATCATGCGTGTGATGCAACTTTGTTATATTTCTCTATTATTTGTGCTAAGAAAGTGAAAGGCAGAATAGTGGCTTAACTATCCTTGACAAAGAAAATTCAGTTGTTGATGGGCTTCTTAGGTAGTATACATTAATTTTTGCTAATTATATTCCAACATCTGGTATTTTTATTTTGGTGTTGAATTAGGTTGATTGAGTTAGCTGTGGAATACTTCTTCATTGAGAGGAGGATATGTTATCTATTGACCAGAATATTTTACTTGTTGGTTAGTTTGTGGTTGTTCGGAAGTTGCATGCATTGTAGTAGTTGACATAGTTAATACATGGTACAAAGTTTGCAAATTTGATACTCAGTAGAGTTGGTTAACTTGCTTGTCTCTGGTTGAGTAGAAGTGTAGTATACCTAGCTGACAAATTGCTGTTGTGGAGCAGAGGTGGGCCTATACAGATGCATGAAATACTGCAGAGTGTATTTTTCCTTCCATAGTTTGGTAAGATCATCATTATATGAAGAAACACTACATCTTACCTTTACATATGTAATATTAGTAATCTTAAATGACAGACTGTATACAAATATAAGATCATTTTTTAAATTGTAAGAAAACCTAGGTCAATTAGGAGAACTATAACAATTAAAAAATTTTCTTTTGATATTAGAATTTTAGTTTAAAGAATAACTTCTTGCACATATAACTTAGCAGAACAATGTCTGGTGATCAAGGCCAGATAGTTGGTTTCAAATCCCTGTGGTGTTTTTCCAGATGAAAAAGATCTAGAAGTCATCATATTTAGAGGAATTATGCAGTCTCTATATGTATCTTATTTATTAGCTTTTCTGATCAATACTTTTGTGAAATACAGCTTTTGTTTTTTCTCTTCTTACACGATAAGACCTCAACTGAGGATAAAGGAAAATAGGTGTTAATACCCTTACTCTATTTTCCCACTGCACTTTGAACATTGTTTAATTAGTTTTATTTATAGATTTGTTGAGTGCAGGGACTAAATCTTTTCATCTACTTAGGGATAGTGCCTAACACCACATAGTCACCTTATCAGTAAGTGTCTAATATGTTAATCTGTTTTTCAGACTTTAAGGCTGAATCTAGCAGCACTGTTTTCAGATCATAGAAAGCTAAAACCAACCAACATTGATACAAACTAAGAATCTATAACAGTATTTTCTTTATGAAATTCTTTGTGCTTCATTGGAAAACCTTTATTCAATGACCTTGCCTCATAAGCAATATTTATTGAGTACTTACTTAAGTGACTTTTATGTATCAAAGAGGTATGGTATGTATTGCCATATTTTCTCTTTTAATAATAATTAAAATTTATATTTATAAATTTATAGTTTATATGACAACATAAATAACACATAAAAAGTAACATTTCCTGGAAATAAGTACAAGCCAGTAGAATCATACAGAAATTAAGAGTCATAGAAGTTTAAGTGTATAGGAAAGCTTGACCTTGGTTGGAGATTATTAATTGCCTTATTTTGAGGAGGAGATATTAGGGCAGATTTTTAAAGAATATATTTGGAATAGAGATTACTGGGAAAATAATAGTCAACTCAACACTTACATAATGTATGTACCTGTACTTTGTGGATATTAACTCATGTAATCCTTACAACAACCTTATGAAGTAGGTATTGCTATCCCATTTTAGAGATGAAGAAACTGAGGCATAGAGAGATTAGGTCACATTACTAGCAGATGGCTAAACCCAGGACCAAACCTAGTCTGCTTCTCAGTCCACCATGCAGAGGCTCATTTGTGGATACTGGTTATAGTGCAGAGTTCAATAGCATGCATACATGAATTCAACTAGATGTTCTGTTTTCCCTAAAAAAAAAAAAAGAGAGAGAGAGAGTGAATAACTGAGAATGAGAACTAGAGAACTCAAATAGTATGAGGGATTTTTTTCTGCCATTCCACTGAAATGAGTGTCTGGCCTAGAGTGGGCATGAAGTGGGTGAGGTAGATTTGCTATTCCCCTAATCATTTTCAGTTTCCACATACTTTCATAGTGTGAACATCTCACCTTGCTGAATGTTAGTATGGTGACAGTATGACACATATGTAAATCAGTCACTTTTTAATGTGCTCAAAGAAGCACTTACCTGTTTTAGTGCAGGAGGAAAACAGTTTGTTAGTTTTTATGTAACTGTGCCTTATGAGTGGTATAGGGAATTATCAAGATTAATTTTCATTGCACATTGACTTTAAGATCTGATCCCTAAGATGTGACTTTACAGTTGGAAATAAGTCTGGAAAGGTAGATTTGCTCGGATTTTGGAGACCTTGATTGCCACCATGTTGAGGAAATTGGGATTCTTGATTTTGACTCTTTATTTAAATTATACTTTAAAACCCAATGTCAGGCATATCAAATAATGAAGACACTTGGTCTCTATTCAGTGAAGGTGGCAAACGTGTTTGGCTTGGAACTTGACTATAATATATGGTTTGGCTTAAATCCATATGGATTTTTTGGATGTAAATTGTGAGGTAGGAATCTTGTTTATTTTTTTAAAAATTGTTTAAGTAATCCTCTCAAAACCATTTATTACCTATTTATTACCTATTTGGGTTGGAACTTGTCTGCTCCCTAGTTAGATTTGACTATAATGGAAAATAAAATACTAATTATAAAATTCTGATTTTACTAGAATCATTCAAGGAAATGGACCTCAGAAGACTGAAATATTTTGAAAAATAGGTGGTATTAAACTTATTATTTTGAATTCTTTGAAGATAAAATCCAAAATTTAAATCATTTCTGTAAATCTTGTGCTTTGCAAAATTTTTGTGGTAGAGGCTTTTTTTATATTTAATGATATGTCATAATGTATTTGACCTATACCAAATGTCAGTGTCTTTAGTAGCAGATTAGCTAATACTGATACATAATAACATGGCTATAGTTATATCTTCGCTTACATTTTAAATTATTTCCTTAGTATAAAGCTTTGGAAGTTTGAATTGCTGTGCTTTTTAAGATTTATGCACTGTTTTAATACCAAACTGCCCTAAAATGGGTTGTGTACCATTTGCATATTCACCAAGTATGGACAGCATCCCTTTCTCTGCTTGCTGCCAAAATTGGATATTATAGTCTCCCTTTGCTAATTTAATGCGTAATGCCATAGGATCTTGTCTTTATCTGTATGTTATTGTTGCTGGTTAACCTTTTTTTTTTTCATGTTTATCTTTGGTATTGCTTCTTTTGTAAATGGTGTATATTCCAGTCAGTTTTTTAAAACTTTATTTATTTTTTTTCTTGATGATATGTAGGTACATCATTAACATTATTTTGTTAGGCATTGACATTTTTTTCCAAAATTTTTTGTGTTGTGTTTCGTGTTAGCTTGATTTTTATATTGTCCATTCTGTCTTTTTTTATGGCTTTTGTCCTTGATGCCCTCTCCCTTGAGTCAAGGTTATGAGGGATTTCACTTTATTTAAGCAATTTAAGCATATAGACTAAAGGCTTAACTTTTTTATTGTGAAATCTCAAATCCATATGGATTTTTTGGATGTAAGTTGTGAGGCAGGAATCTATGTTTATTTTTTAAAAAGTGGTTAGGTAGGTAATCCTCTCTACCCTCCTTGAAATTCTAACCTCCTTTGGTACTGGACTGTGTAGTCATAGCTAGGAAGGAAGAGGTAGTATTATCATCTCATATTTAAAACTATATTTCAAAGATACATGATATAACCACCTAGGAAAACGCTGGACCCTCTTGACCCACAGTAGTATTTGACCTCCATGCCCCAGCCTAGGGAAGATTTCAGAATTGCACATTTCTTGAAATTCTAACCTCCTTTGGTACTGGACTGTGTAGTCATAGCTAGGAAGGAAGAGGTAGTATTATCATTTCATATTTAAAACTATATTTCAAAGATACATGATATAACCACCTAGGAAAACACTGGACCCTCCTGACCCACAGTAGTATTTGACCTCCATGCCCCAGCCTAGGGAAGATTTCAGAATTGCACATTAAGGATCAAGAAAGATCCCCCTTCCTTGTCAACAGGAAGACAACAGAATCTCCTGTGTGAATAAAGAAGTTGTGTTAACATGTGCTACCTTCGTGACCTTCTCTTTAAAGTTCTAGCACCTTTCTTTTCATTCAGTAACCTGTTCTTTTTAAATTTAATACTGATAGACTATGTGGACTTCTTATTTCTGTCCCAAAGTCTATCTAATTAAAATCAACAAAATCTAATTAGCAGTTAAGTGCTAGGAATTATGGACCAAGTTTATGATATAAAA